CAAAACTTGTGTTTTTGTACATGGAAATACATTTCCCTATATCTAGGAAACGAACCAAACAGCCCCTTACAAGAAAAGGTTTTATCATTTACACATTTCACGTTAATACATTCCTTATAGGTTTATCATAATCCCATATTACATGAAAATGCCAAATCAGTATAGAAAATAAATACAAAGCAGAAAGTATGCAAACAAAACAAAACAAAACAAACACACCCGTGACTGCGGAAAGACCTCACATTTTTCTCATACCAACAAGATTCTCTTCATTTTTATAAACATTAAAAAAATACCAAATATTTACTAGTGCGCCAGTAACAACCAGAAATTTCTTCTGTAAATTTCGAGCATGCTTCATGGGAACTTACTTTACAACTACAGAAGAGGAAAAAGAAATTGTGTCAGAATAATGAATTCCAAGTGATATATCCTAACCGGATAAGATAAGAATAAACTTCTGATGAGATGCGTCATTTGATTACCAAGAAACAAACCAGACAGTGGGAAATGGTAAGCATTTTCAGTAGCAGAATTTCTTCTTCTGCAGAGAGACATTATAGACCCCCATTAACTTCCAAAATTATCAAATATCAAATGAGACAGTTATAACAAAATACCATCTGTAGGTAAATATCATAAACAGAGAAAACCTGCTAAACCTACCCTGAACTTAGCCTCCCGCTGGCCGTCAAGGTAAGCTAAGAGCTCCTCTTGCCTCAACAGAGCCTCATGAAGTGCCTGCCTCACACCGAGGGGGTCATTAATTCATAGTCATACGAAACAGATACATAGAAAGAAAGTGATTTACTCATAGCACAACTCTATGATGTATCCTCTTCCAGCATGTGTCAAATTACCAACCTGTCCTCAGTGTGTAACAAAATGAAGTTTGATATGATTGTACTATGCTTTATAAACATTTAAAATTCCTCATTAATCAATATTGAAGCCCGGATAGGAAAGCTTGGGGGTCAAAGTTGGTTCACGGATCAAGCTCAAAATATAGACTTAACCTAATCTGATGTTCTTTTCTGCAGAGATACAACTAGAGGATTTTCCTCGTTGGATGGACTGGCCATATGTAACAAATAACTCTGGCAAACTTGATTGCTTATATTTTATGGATGATTTCGAATTTCATATCACAAATGCCGCAGAGGAAAGGACACCATAGATTTCTGAAATAGATGGTCAATTTGATGTGGTTGTGGTGAGCATGCTTATTATAAGTTTAAAGGAACATATTCTTGTCAGATCATTTTGAGCACAACATTTTTGACAAGTATATTAATGTTTCTAGATTACTATGGTGCACTGTGTCCCAATAATTTAGAAATTGATTCAGGAAATTATTAAGGGTCATTTGCATATATAGCCCTTAAATCTTTGCAAAAATACCCTCCAAATCTCAGTATTTACAAAAGCACCCCTCAAATCATCAATTTTTGAGAAGACTACCATCAAAGCAAGTAATCATCAACTCCGATAAGCTAATTTGTAATCACAATGTAAAAATTATCAACAAAATAGTCAAATTTCTAGCACCAACTTGATGATTTGTTGATTTTAGGGATATTTTTTCACAAAGTTGATGATTTGAGGGGTAGTTTTTCAAATATATGATTTAGGAGGTATTTTGCAAATGCCCATAAATTAAGGGGTATATATGAAAATAACACAACTATGAACATAAAATTGCCTACCTGAAATGCTGCGGTAGAGAGAAGAATAATAAACTTTCCCACTTTATATTAAAGTACAAAGATTTTAATGGGCTACATCAAAATATGAAAGATTGAGGTTTATATGCTATGTTACCCCGACACTTCAATCTAGGTCCCGTACCCGTGTCGGGTACGTGTTGGGTGCGGATCCGCACCCAAACGGCGTGGATACGGCAAAATTTCACTCGCGAGCGAAGAAAAAAAAACCGCACCTGAAAATTTGAAAGAAAGGCCGAATCG